CCCCTAAACCCTAATCCCTACAGCCCCAAGCCCATGTAACCTTCGCCCCAGCACACGACAAAGCCACAACGGCCCTGAACCCAGAAGCGCCGGCGCTCACTGAAAGCCATGCTGCCGGAGGGGTGGCAGCAGCCAGCTTCTCACACGGCTCCTTCAGAAAGTTCCTGGGCGAGGTCGGAAATAGAGGGCAAAATCACACTCAAGGTCCAAGAGGTCTTATGGGGGCGCGATACGGGTTGAGGATTTACGGTTTAGGGTTTAGGATTTGATTGATTTAAGGCTCAGGGAAATCAAGATCTAGGACTTTGCTGTCTATCGACCCTGTGTGTTTCGGCACCTGCAAGCCAATCAACTGAGCAAGCATGCCCCAAGGCTCATTCAGAAGCTGCTTCCGTGCCTGCATCTGAAGTCCAAACTTTTTGCCTTGTAGACCCCAGACAGAACAAAACACCGAACTTCAATCCACAAAAACAACATGAATACCCCTCTTATGCCCCAGGCCCTCCAACCCCGCAACTACACAGAATGCAGAATGCAAGAATGTATTCTCAAACACCACATTTGCAATAACACATAGTCATATGCACTCGTATAAGCATGCACTTTACAGCACACAGTTTCGACTTTGCTTACACATGTACACATGGCTACATACGCAGTTGTGTGTGTGTGTGTGTGTTTGTGTGTGTTTGTGTGTGTGTGTTTGCTATGATGTATGTACTTAAACAAGTACTCATACACCCTAAACTCCCAGTGACCCGGCACAACAACAAACTCCGGGGAGGGGCAGAAAGCGCAGATTCTCCTTGGCCTCGCTCGATCCGTTCTTGATGTCCTGTGCTGCTGGCTTGTAAGGGCTTGATGAGGGCATGGTTTTGGACTTAGGGATTGAGAGATTTTGCGGCAGGGCTTAAGGTTTAGATAGTTCTAGGGTGTGCTGAGAAGCGGTTTAGGGCACATGGCTCCAAGACTCGCAGAAAGCTTTTGGGAGTCCTGCAGCCGAAGGGTCAGCACCCAGATATAAGGCAGTTGGGTTAACATATGTTCAAGTTAATGACGGTTAGTGGTACCTGAAGACGGGTTAGATTCCAAGCGCTTGGAGTCAAGTGAAAGCATGTGGGGGTCCATGTACCTACATGGTTCGTACTTTGCCTGATCCTTGAAAAATTCCTGCATAGGACTTTAGGGCCAGAGTGCATGCTCTAGTAGGCCCTGCAAAGCCTCATACTAACCTCTTCAAACAGCCAGGGCGACATGGACACAGAGAGAGCTGCCAACAGTCCTCTTCCAAAGCTCGGAACCTGGCAATTGCGGGCTGCAGTTCTTCGGGAACAAAGGGCGCCCTGGGTGCGATTTCCCTGGCTCAAATTGCCCGAGGGCGTTTTGGGGTCCCAGGCAAAATTTTAGAATTCATAAGCCCTGACTCATAAACCCCATTCGAAGGTTGCAGTGGCCTTATCAATTCTCGTAGGACGAAGCAGAGAGGATTCTATCGGTTAAGGGATACCTGCGCCGGCAGAACCGAACCGAGGCAATGCAGGCTGATAGGAACAAGGCCCGTGAAACCTCAAGGATCCCACTCTAGCACATGGGCCCATGAGCAGCACAGTAGATCCTACACCCAAAACATCCCGAAACCTTGAAACCCAGGACGAAAGTACACACACACAGGCACGCGCACGCACGCACGCACACACACACACACATCCTAAACCCTTACACCCTTCATCCCCAGACGCCCTCACCCCTGAAGCACCAATTGCCAGGGCCGCTTCTTCAGCCATCCTGATTTGGCATGCTCCAGCACAGTCCTCGCTTCGATTTTGGTGGTAGTGGATCCAAAGCCCTGATGTTTTCCCCTGAGGGGCTAAAACCCTATGACAACGGCGTCATAACATAGCCTACTTCTTACTACTGTTCATGATACAAGTCCGGCATTACCCTAAACTGCGGGAATTGTGGTATATTCCTCATTATGGGGAATGCAGGATTTATATCATCAGCCGTTTTGTGTAGGGTTTCGGCGTTCAGGGCTTTGGGTTCAGGGTCTACAAGCTTCGAGCTCTGAAGCGCTCGGCTAGCCAAAACAGTCGAATTTGCCCCTTCCTGCCGGAAAGCTATACGACGATGTCGCAGTCTTGAGCTATCTACTTATTTTTTGCCTGAGGGCTGCGGGTTTAGGGGTTTAGGGTTTAGGGCTTTAGAATCCATTAGGGTCCATGTACCCAAATAGTATAGACTTTGGCCCCAAAGGTGCCTACATAGGGACTACTTTAAGGCCCTAGTTGGGTACATGGACCCTTAGAGAATCTGATCTCAGACATTATTGCATTCCTGAATGACTCTCAGTGATGAAGTGAGGTTATCCTACTGGTCTTCAGGTTTCGGGGTTTCAAGCCAGACAACATAACGCTTCCGACTAGGTAGACACTGGGGCTACTGCGGTGATGCTTTGGGAGCAAAAGTAGGTGTCGGATGTGAGACTCGAGTAGCGGTGCTTCTTTTCAGATGAGGAGGAAAACCTCCAAAGCAGAGACTTATCCCTAAGGATGCAGTTACCTATATTTTCGGCTACTGCTAAATAAATAAATAAATAAATAAAAATAAATAAATAAATAAATATAAGGTCGGCCAATGCAGCAGAGGCGCAATATTTCTTGGAGCTTCTTGCTTTGCAACTGCTCGTGAAGCCGGGAAAGGTTTTTGTCACGTGCATTCCAGAATTCGATCTCATCCAAGGGGCCATTGTTTTCCTTGGCTGTCGCGTGTGTTTAAAGCTGAGGCTTATAGGGTTTATAATTCATAATGGTTTAGGGTTTAGAAATATTATTGTTTTCCTTGGCTTTCTTGGCTTCACTGCTTAGGGTTTAGGGTTACGTGCGTGCTTAAGGCTTAGGCTTAGGGTTTGTAATGGTTTAGGGCTTAGGATTCTTTTCTTCAGCTCTCCTGAGGAAGCATTAGCAAAAAACGCATGCAGCATGGCCTTTTGATACTGGGCAAGCCCATATGCATGTGGGCCCACAGGACCTTAACGAAATAGCGTGGTGGTTAGAACAACGCTTCGCTGTCCCATGAATACGATCAACGCGCTGTATGGTGTTAGTGCCCATCGTCCAACACGCCTACACCATGCACAACCCGAAACTCACAGTATTGCCCTAACCCCGAAACAAAAGCACCCCTTCAACAAACAGCACACGAAACAAATTCTAAACCCTATAGAACCGTGACAGGAACCCGTAAATCAACCCTTAAACCCTAAACCTGAACCCTTAATTCCCTTACTTCCCTTAAATTAAAGCCCTTCATTCCCCTTAAACCCTAAACTTTAAGTCAGCCCTTACTTCCCTCAAAGCCCTTCATTCCCGTAAAACCCTAAACCCTAAGTTAGCCCTTACTTCCCTTAAAGCCCAGCAGCGCCCTCGTTGGCGGAGTCTTGTTGGGTGGTCACTTCTTTGATCTGCCGGTGCCAGTGGATCAAAGCAACTTTCAATCCTGAGATCTGAGCTTCATGTTTAGGGTTTGGGGTTTAGGGTGTTGGGTTTAGAAGCTCCATGTGAGTTTTTGAAAGTTTAGGGGTCTAGGGTTTAGGGATTTATGATTCATGGTCTAGGGTTCAGAAGGGGCTTTTGAGCAATTCACAGTTCTCAGATCTGGACACACAGGGTAGAAGAGGGCCTGGTGTCGAGGGAAGGACCCCGAACGCTGAAACCTACACCCTAAACCCTAAACCCTGAACTTTAAACCCTACACCCTACTAGAAGTACGCTAAACCTTAAACCTTACACCCTACCAGAAAGACTCCTAAACCCCTAGGCAATAAACCTCAAAGAGCCGGGTTGCTCTGAACAACATCCTTGTCCTTGGAGGCGACTTCTAAGTTGGCGAAGTTGTCCTGGCGCCCCGCTTTCGCCAACTCCAACTTCTATCAACTGGGTGGTTCAAGGTTTATGGAGTTTAGGGTTTTAGGGTTTAGGGTTCAAGGCTTTAGGATTTAGGGCTTAGGGTTTAGGGTTTCTGGCACAACCTGTCGGCTCTATAAAGGTTGCTCGAAGGGTTTCCTCTGAGGGATTTACAGGGCAAGGGCACTTAAAACTGAAGGGTTTAGGGTTTAGGTCTATAAGAGTTCCCGTAAGGGATTTAAGCTAAATTAAGGTTGTGGGAAGGGGGTTGGGGTTTACCCTGGCCCCTAAACCCTGTCAATGCCCTACATCCTTACTCTACGACCTACCTTGCCAAGCTCTCCTTGATCGATTCTCTTCATCTTAGCCTGGACTCCTCAGCTATTGTATTTTATATGCAATGCTACAATTTCCCTTACCCTCAAAGGACTCATATTTTAAGGCTTTTGGGCCCAAAGACCCTCTTACATAAGGCTTTTGGGCTATTTTGATGCCAAGGGTTTGGGGGGAAATTATATACCCCGACAGCAATGTCCTGGGGGATGTACAGGACGGTGCTGCCCTTGCCTGGACCCAGGGATCACGAGCTTCGCAGCTGTGGGAAACTGGCTGGTTTAGGGCTTAGGGTTTAGGGTTACTCAACCTTGGAAGAATCTTCTCCGAAAAGAAAAGCTCGCTAAAATCGTAAACTCGGGACTCTATACGAACTACACGCAAACCCGGGCGGGCCATTCCTCAGCGCGAACCCTAAAACTCTGAAACCTTGGGGCAATCACATTCTCAACCCCAAACCCCAAAACCCTAAACCTTAAACCCTGGAACCCCTTCAAACCAAACCCTTTGGGAGCCAAATCCAAAGATCTAAAGCCCAAAACCGCAAAACCGGGGATTCGGTGGGTTTAGGGTTTTAGGGTTTAGGGCTTAGATTTAAAAGGTCCCAATATATTGAAAAATACAATAGACCCCCAAAGCCCCATGGTTGGTCTGGGATTCTCTCACTTAGGCTTACAAAGTTTAGGCTTTGGGGTTCAGGGCTCGAGGTTAAGGATTCCGCAGGCAGGGTTTAAGACCCTCAACCCTAAACCCCTAAACCCTAAACCCTAAACCCCTAAACCCTAAACCCCTAAACCCTAAACCCTAAACCCTAAACCCCCAAACCCCCTAAACCCCTAAACCCTATAAACCTTGGTTTACTACGCGACCTGAAGCCCCACCAGAAAAAAAGTGGCCCTGCACACCTGGTGTCCTCTAGCCCACCCCTACGGGTCCATGTGCCCACATAGCAAATACGTTGGCCTTACAGTAGTTCCGAAAATAGGTACTTTGGGGACCAAAGCATGTACTATTTGGGTACATGGACGCTTAAACCCTAAACCCTTATGGTACCCTTACAGGAACCTAGACCCTCAACTCTTATGGTAACCTTAAAGGAACCGTTCAAGAAGCCTGGACGCCCTTAGAGGTACACGGACCCTTAGGGTACGGCCTTGATGCGTCATGGCTGTGACTGTCAACATGAAGTTCTGCACCTGTGAAGTGAACTCCTGGCCGCTTTGTCCGTGGGCGGGGGTTTAAGGGTTTAGGGTTTATAGGGTTTAGTGTTTAGGATGATGGCTGTTGGTGTTCATGGCTTTAGCGTCAGACGGTGTGTGGGGCTTTAGGGTTTCTCTTGCATGTTTCGGGCTGCTGGGCTTTACCGGGCCCAAAAGGAACTGCCATGGAGACTATACCCTAAGGGTCCATGTACCCAAATAGTATGTACTTTGGCCTTAATGTAGTCCCTATATAGGTACTTTAGGGCCAATGTTCTACTATTTCAGTGGACCGTTAGGGATAGGCTATAGGTAGGCGCGTAAACAAAACAGAGTCCTTGCGCACGTTGTCAGGCCATCCGTGCTCGGCCAAGGCTACCTTATTTTTGTCAACTGTGGTCGCTTTTCCGGGGTGACAGGGTTTAGGGTTTAGGGCTTGCGGTCTGGGTTCGAGGGTGTATGGTTTTGGGATGCACCTGAAATTCTATTCATAAACTTGGAGAGGCTTCCTATACCAGTGCTTTTTAGGTTCAGGCGTACAATTACTACCCCTAAACCCTAAGCCCTAAACCCCAAACCCTAAACCTAGATTCCCCAACTACCCTCCATTACAGCCCTTTCGACCCACGTTACGGACCACAAGAGCTCTACTAAAGGGCCATTGGGGGGTCCTGGAATAACCCGGAACCCCAAAACCTAAACTCTAGACCCTAATTTAATCCCAAACCCTAAAACCTAAATGCATGAACCTCAAAACCTAAACTCTAGACCCGAGGTTAACCCCAAACCCTAAAACCTAAATGCATGAACCCCAGACCCCAAACCCTATAACCCAAACAAATGAACCCAAAAGGGAGGGTTCTTCAG